AAGGAGGATTACACATCTAAACCCTCCTCTATCTATATTCTCGTCTCGATACACTGAACGCCTGCTTTGGTGTATAGAATGTTATGGTGAAGACTCGTAGTGAATTGAGTAAATAGAGGAAATGAGAAGGCTTACGATAGTGAATGATACCTATCGGAAGATATCGTAAGAGTGATATCTTGCCTTTAGAATACCTCTAATAAATAATACGTCTAGTACAGGAGAAGTACACTTTCGATTAGCAAAAAGAAAGATTTTTGGTATAATCCATGAAGTTATCCCATTGTCTGACAACCGAGTTGAAGCATAATGGATGATTGAAGATACGCATGGAAGAAGTCCTAGTAGAGTCTAGAGAAAATTATATGATTGTTTGGACACATTTGTATGTGTTAAAACTGTTTTTGTGATAATAACTTGGAGAACTGCGAGACAATACTTGGGACGAGTATGAGTAGGTGTGAATGGTAGTAGAGGCCTATATTACCGGAAGCACATGACTCGCACTTGGATCAGGGAAAATCACAAGGTTACCAAGAAGCTAGTAATTGATTCCGTTTTATTTAAGTATGTCGTTACCATTGTTTCGGTAAAGACTAATAAGATTGCTGTTATTCCGACCCTAGTGGTCATATCAATTTGAGTCCGCCTAAGACGAGTCTGTTACGTGGTTCCGAGAACCAAGTTCGATGTAGCACCTGACTTAAGCCGAAAGAATTAAACAAAGCGATCAGTAGGCTATAAATAGAGGTGTCGGGTTCCCTCATTCTTCACACCATTCCAACCTCTTCTCTCTCTCTCTCTCTAAACTCTCTCTAGCCTCCAAAACCCCCCTAAGCCTAGGTAAAACCCCTAGAACCCAAAGGAAACCCCGAGGCTCCCGAAGCCCCGATAAAAGATCCTTTTGGCTCGGGAACGCTGCTCCAGCGAAGCCTGGTTTTGTGAAGACCCGCTGTAAGTGAGCTACGCCTACCCTATCGTTAGTATATCTTATGTTTTAATATAGTAATGTTATTAGGACCTTATAATAAGTATTTGGGCTATTATTATGAGTTATATAAGTGTCGTTATAATATCTTTTAACCACTTTCGGTACGGGGAATCTGGTTTAAAGGGCCGCATAGGGTTGTTGGATTTCAGAAGTGTTATATGCCAAAATGGTCCCGCCCTCCGGTGTTTTATGTCTGGCCCCTGTCTGTACATAGTGGTTGGAAAATATTGTTTAAACGCTTATATAATAACAATAATGCTAAGACTAATAATTAGTCACGGTAAATATTAGACTAAAATCTAGTGGTAATAATACTAGGTTTCGTCGGAGGAAAATAGAATCGTTAGAAGCGAAGCGCTGCCCGAGTTTGGAATCATCACTTTAACAAGTGAGTGCATAGTTACTTTCATCTTACACATAGATATGAAGTATTTTATATAAACTACGTGCTATGTGTGCATATTATCTCTATACTTGCTATCTATGCTGGATGAACGATTTATACAAGTTTTATATGATTTAAACTGTATATGTATTTATATCTACATAATATGTTGGGTAAAACATGGGTAGATGAAATATGAGTTGGATGATGAGTTGAGAGGTGATATAGACCATTAGGTAAGGGTGAGAGGTGGACGATGTGAGAAGCCTTGTTCCCAAATGCTGGCCCCGTAATCTAGCAGAGTATGGATGACAACCAAAGATTATTCTAGACAGTCGAGTGGAACACTAGCAGGCTCGCAACCTGTAAGTGTTGTGAACGATGTGTTCACCGGTGTACTCTAAAAACCCATTGACATGTATTGTGAGTGGACTCTCGAAAACGATACTGTCAATAAACGAGATAAACCTCGTCGACTATGGAGTTAGCGCCTGTTGATTAAACCCATGCGACTATGGAGTTAGCGCCTGCTGAGCAAACCTTGGTAACTATGGATTTAGTGCCCGTTGAGAAAACCCTGGCAACGATGGATTTCGTGCCAATTCCTTTGGATAATCCTTAGGAATAAATGAACGAGGAATAGCTGATTCTTAGGGTAGATCCTTAAGAGTAAAGAAGATAATGGGGATGGGTAATTGGGTTGATTGTTTGATGTTTAAACATAATAATTATATTATTGTGGGTTGAAAACCCTATGTACTCACCAGGTTTCCCAACCTGACCCACTCAGTTTATTTGTATCACAAGTGTCGATATGAAGCTACTTTACACTGAAGCAACCATTGAGGTTAAGATATTAGAGCTAAAGTTGTATATAGAAGAACTTTTATCCTAAACACAAAAATGATTAAGATACCAAGGTAATCTTCAATCAACTAGAATTTGTTCTTATGGATTCAAAGGACAACCACTTAGGCTCTGATACCAATTGTGAAAGCAAGAAACGATCTACGCGGACAAGGTTTGAAAACTCAAACCTGGAATTAACTTAAGATCAATGTCTGCTGCTAAGAAGATCCAGTCAAGTTTGGTAAACCATTCTTGTCACGGAATAGAGATATTCAACAAAGTATTCAAGATAAAAATGATTAATAAGTATGAACAATGTAAAGTGACTTGAGAACAATAAGAATATAAAAGAGAGTGATTTGACTGAATGATTATTGGTATTGATATGATAGAGAATGTTGCACTCATACATGTGTAAACAATCAAACTTACATCTCCTTAAATAGAAAAGGAGTGAGACAAATAAGACAAATCCCATAAAGTGCATGGACTAGAAGACAACTGAAGATCAACAGACTGCTAAGGCCGCATCTGTTGATCTTGTCCTATATACTGTACAATAAAACAACTACTAAAAGACAAACTAGTACTAGGAACATTTAATGCACTATACAGATACAGATAGCAAGCAACAAAAGGATGTGTCTTGGACAGATCTTCAGTTCAGAACTGGTATCATCCTAAAATTCATCTACCTCGGAATTGGCTTCACTTCAGATTGCTAAGAGATACTTTTCATGTATCAACAATTAACTCCCCAATTGCCAAGTGAGATCAAAGTCTTCAAAGGTTGTCTCCTAAACACCTCATGTGTTGATTATAATCTTTCTATATCATGTAATTAAATCATTGGTAGTTTTATTTTAAAATGGTCTTAAAATAAATGTTATTTTAAAATCTCTTTTGTTTGCTGCTTATAATAGTTTTATATAAAATATCGTTTTTAGCTAGTCAAAATTCATAAGTGGTATCAAAGCATTTTTTACATGTTAGAAATATTCATTATTATGTGCTAACCTTTGCTTTTGGAAAATATGTTTGCAATTTCTTTTGGCAAAGAAATGATCAAATATGTTTTCTTTGGCAACTCGTAGTTTTATATGTTTATGCAACAAAAATCATGATTTAATTACATCAATTTTCTCACAAATTTGCCAAAACTCATACTTTACAATATGACGGACACGCCCAACCTTTTTTTATCCGATGCTCAACATGTTGGATTTATTTTATTCGTCTCAACTATCCATTTTTTCTTGTCTTCCATGACTCATAACTTAACCTGCATTTGTTGTCCGAGTCTCTTAGATCCCACTTTCAATTTTCCGTACTATGCTTCTTTGTCTTTTACTATTTTCCTCATAGATTAAGAGATGTCTCAACACCTTAGCTCGTTGGTGAAGCTTAAATGACGGCTAGACTTAAGAATGAATTTCGACTAATCGAAAGACATTTTCAAAGAGTAGCTTAATAGATTTTGGTGTGAATTAAAGTAAGCTTTAAACTAATGTAAATAGATTATGAATATAAAGGTATGTGGTAAATTTAATGGATTTGAGTGGTAGGTGAGAAATCATAACTAGTTAGGGAGGTGTAGGCATGATAATAAAGTGGTAGGTGAAGATAAAATATAATGTAAAAGTTTGGTTGTTCATTTTATACAACTAATTAGATAAGTATTTGTGTGAAATTGTATTTACAATTTGTAGTTTCTAATTGAAAATACCAAACTTGAAAACTCTAGAATTCCATTTCATAACAACTTTGGAATCTGGAATCAAGTCTGAAATACGTTGTTTGAAAAAATTAATTATTTTGTGAAATTCTAAATTGATTATTTTGTTAAGGATATGTCAATATAAGTTAGTTTAATCAATATAATTGTAGTATATAAGTGACAATCTGTTTTAATTATTTATAAAAGGGATAATTTTATATTTTTAATAGAAATAAAGACAATTCATTTGAATTATCTGGTAGTCCTATTTCTACCATACCTAGTATTCTAAACAACGTGTCACGGCGGCGCTAAGACGTGTCATAACGTCGAGACGTGAGAGAGTTGTTTCGAAAACACGCAAGACGTCTGTTAGGCGTGAGCGTGACGTGCAAAAAGTATGGCAGACACGAGTTTGTTTTTTTTCCCTGATCAAACATGCAAAAATTGAGTTTTTGTTAAATTTTTTAAAATTAGAAATTTGATATATTTGATATTAGAAATTTGTTTTTTTACTATAAAACCATAAAACTGTCATTCATAACTCCTGATAAGGCTTGACCGTGCCTGTCAAAACCACACCTAAATCCTGTTTAGAACCTTGCTCCGACCCGAATGTCAAATACGTATCGGAAGAATCATCCATTCCAATTCGGATTCTACCGGAATCCGCGAAACCCATCGAGTAGGGCAGCGATTTGGTCGTCGTCTTCTTTTGCTCAACTAACATCTTCTTCTGTCTGTCGAGTCGCTTCATCTTCGTATGATCAAATTCAGTCGCTACCCCAAGGAGAGTAGCAATGGCGAAAGGAAGGCTACCATTCCTTCCCAAGCTCACAACAACACTTTCTTCTCCCTCTTCCATCTCGAAACCTAAGTTCTTCTCTTCAAACTCCCAAAACAATGGTATTGCAGTCACCAATGATCCACATGAACAACTCAGAAATCTTCACACACTACTGCAGCAAGGCCAAACCCAAACAGCCAAAAATCTAATCAAATCCCTAATTACTTCCAAGTCCATCTTCACTTCTCCTTCTGATATCTACACTCAGTATATGGAAAAACCCAAAGTTTTTTCAAGCTTGATTTTATCGGTTTGTGCAGAAGCAAACTTCCCAAATGAATCCATCGACTTGTACATGTTAATCAGGAAAGATGGTGTTTTCCCTTCCATTGCTTCATTTAATTTACTCCTGGAGTGTTTGGTTTCATCTGGTCAGTACAGTAAAGTGTTGGAATTGTTTGATCATGTTATTAGTTCGGGTATCAGGGTTGATAAGTTTACATTCGGGAAGGCTGTGCAATCAGCAGTGAAGATGGGAGACCTGCGACGGGGTATGGATTTGATGGATTGCATGAAGAATACTGGCAGAATGAATGTTAGTACGTTTGTGTATAATGTTTTGATCGGTGGGCTGTGTAAACAGAAGCGATTGATGGATGCACGAAAGCTGTTTGATGAAATGCTTGAGAGAGATGTAGTTCCTGATAGGGTTACATATAACACAATGATCGATGGATATTGCAAAGTCGGGAATTTAGACGAAGCATATAGGGTTCGTGAAAAGATGAAGGCTTGTAATGTGGGGCCGAATCTTGTTACATTTAATACACTACTCAGTGGTCTCTGTAAAGGGAAGAGGATGGATGAGGCAAAGAAGGTCTTTGAAGACATGAAAATTCATGGCTTTGTTCCCGATGGGTTCACTTACAGCTTAATGTTTGATGGGTTTTCAATATCTGGTGATATAGATGCTTGCATTTCATTACACAAACAGATAGATAAAAATGGCATTCATATAAATGAATACACTTGCAGTGTTTTGTTAAATGTGCTATGCAAGGGAGGGAAAACCAACAAAGCTGAGGAGATTTTGGTAAATTTAATGGAGAATGGACTTGTTCCAACACAGGTAATCTTCAATACAATCATTGATGGCCATTGCAGGGAAGGTAACACAGAAATGGCCCTTTTCTCAATTGAAAAAATGAAATCCAATGGCTTAACACCAAACTCCTTCACCTTCAATCCAATAATCAACAAGTATTGTCAATCTGGTAATCTTTTAAAGGCAGAAGAATTGATAAAAAAGATGCCAGAAATGGGTTCTTCACCAGATGTTGTAACCTACAACATACTAATTGATGGATTTGGACGAAACTTAAAGTTTGATAAATGTTTCAAGATTCTTGAAGAAATGGAAACTAATGGCTTAAAACCAAATGCTGTAACTTATGGATCTCTAATGAACCAATTGTGCAAAGATGGAAGACTTATGGAAGCTGAAGTGGTGTTCAAAGATATGATAGGTAGAGGTATTTTCCCAAACACAAATACGTATAATATGCTTATTAATGGGTATTGTAATGTGGGAAAGATAGAAGATGCTTTCAAGATTTTTGATGAAATGTGTAGAAATAAAGTTGTTCCATCTTTGGTTACTTACAATACACTCATAAATGGGCTATGCAAAAAGGGTAGGGTTGAGGAAGCCGAAGAATTTGCTTCAAGAATCACAAATGGATATCTAAAATGTGATGTTATTACATATAACTGTTTAATATCTGGTTATTCAATAAAGGGTGACACCCAAAAGTGTTTAGAGTTACATGAAAAGATGAAATCATCTGGAATTAAACCTACTATCAATACATATCATCCACTAATTACTGGATGCAAGAATGAGTTAATACTTGTGGAGAAACTCATGAAAGAAATGTCAGATATGAACTTGGATCTTGATCGGGTGATATATAATGAACTCATTCGTTGCTATTTTGATCATGGTTTTGTGGAAAAGACAATTGAATTGTTTCATGAAATGATTAATAAGGGAATTGTTCCTGATAAAATGGCTTACAATTGCTTGATTATTGGGTACTTAAAGGAAGGAAAGATTCATGAGTCAAAGGATCTTGTTGATGAAATGAAGGCGAATGGATTAGTTCCTAAAGCTGATACTTATGATGTTATGATTAAGGGTCTTTGTGATATTAAGAAGTTTGGTGAAGGGTATTTTTGGTATAGGGAAATGGTTGGAAATGGGTTTTTGCCAAGTGTAAGTGTTGCTAATGAGCTTGTTATTGGTCTTACAGAAGAAGGGAGGTTTAATGAAGTTGAAGTAATATGCTCAGAAATCAGTATTAAAGGATATGATTATTCTGATGCAAATAAGGATCTTTCTGCTGCTTTAAAATGATTGAACATTGTATTATAATTGTTTTCTATAAGTATTTTTTTTGTTAAGTGGTATATTTATTGTCTTTTTGTATTTAGCCAATTAATATAACATTTTTTTTGCAGCAATGAAGATCTTAATTATCAAGTTTCATATCTTAATTTAATAACAATATACTTATGCAACTACTATAAAACTAGCATCATTTATTCAATATTTTTGTATATAACATTTTTATATAACAGATTAGTCATTTATTGTTGGAGAGTATAGTTACTGTTTTTTTTATAATTGTTTTTCATATATATTTTAGTCATAATATTATAATAATCAATTAATAATACAATATATATTTTTTTAGTAATCAAATGTTATTACCAATGGCTGTAATAGTAGTTAATAATTCTATTCTAGAAAAATGAATGATAAAAATCGGTTTTTAGGGTATTGGATTTCGGTTAAAACTGAACAAGTTTTTATCGGATTTTGTGCATGATAATGGATTCATACTATATAAAATTTGATTTTGTTTTTATAAAAATTCAAAGTTATTCCAACCAAGAAAGAGTTGTAAAAATATTTAAAAAAATCGGAATGTTAATTGATTTAATTGAAAAAAATAGGAAAGAGAAAACTTAGAAATAAAATTAAAAAGAAAATCGGAAAGAAAATAAAACGTCGGACAGAAAAAAAAAAGAAACGTAAAAATTAAAATCGGAAAAATATTTGATTTACTAAAACTAAAAGAAAATTAATAATTATAAACCAATTTAAAAAAAATCAAAAAGACAATTAAAAAAACATGATTGGAAGGTGATTTGACAAAAAGGTTTTTTTTTTTCTTTAAAATCCCCATATTTAATACTTGAATAATCGCAGTTTATTTTATTTTTTTTAGTTAGAATAAAAGGGTTTATTTATTTATTTATTTTACAGGTTTCATATAACTTGTGGACAGAACATATAAACTTTACCATTGAAAGCTGCTGATATCGAATGGCAATTGCAAGGATGAACAACTTGCTGATAATATCTGTCAAATATTGTTAATAGTATTTGATACCTTATCAGTCAAGAAAGATCCTTAATTGGGTTTGGGTGGCTTTTTTACTGTTTAGTAAATTAAATTTTGGTGTGATATACTTAAACTTACTGACAAGAGATAGGATAGGTGAATGTGATGGCGTATTTTATAATAGCAATGCCTACAATGTTGGAAAAGTCACACTTAATTTGAGAGGTAAATTCTAAGGTGCTATGATTTACACCATTAAAAGGCAACATACATACACATAACATAAGTGTCATAGACTTGGGAATGTTAAAGTAGAGATTTTTGGCCATGAAACAAATGATACCAGTTCACTCAACTCAAGACATACAATGTGTTTGGAAGAAATGGAATTGAATTCGATAATAAAAAAATATATTTTTATTATTATTATGTGAATAGTTTTGTTTATTTTAAATATACTAATATGTATATATAATAATAAAGAAGAATGGGATTGAAATTCTTTTACCCTCCCCTAGGAAAGATAAAATCCATCGAACATGGAATTTGATAGATTCCAACGGAAGTGAACCAAACATGCCATGGAATCAAATCTTGAATTCCAATTCCGTTTAATTTCTGTAACATCACCATTATGCAACATAGGTCCAATCATTTAAAATAAAATCGATAGAAAAATAAAACCAAGAGCACTAATTGTATTTTAAATAATTTACCCATTATACCAATGAGTTTTGAATTATATTGAAATCATTTTTATGTATTTTGCTTAATAAATAAGTTGTATTCAATTTGTTTTTGGAATGTTAATCGAAACATAAAACACAATGATATATTATAAATCAGTTTAAACATGAGAGAAGTGTTGATGATTTTAGTGTCATCATGTCATTTTATGTAACTGGAATTAACATGTGAGCTAACAGACTTCATAATTTGTACTCTAATATATGTACGGGTTGGTGCGGAGTGCACGCATGTATAAGATCAAATTAGAAGTCGATTCGACGATAAGTCGGGGGTCTGGGGTTTCCAAAGGGGCGACGCCCCTTTGGCGGGGTCTAGGGCAGCACCCCTAACAGGGTCCAAGGGGCAGAGCCTCTGGCAGCGCCCCAAAACCTCTCCGAATTTTACATATGGGAATATAGTGGAACATTCAGATTCTTGAGGGTGATAATGGTAAAACTAACGAAACTTGTTAGTTTTGGTAACCCTAAATCCTCATTTAAATCCGGATTACCCTGACTTGCTTCCAAAGCAACTGATGACGACCCAACCCTAATGAAACCCTAATCTCGTTTATTATATAAACGACTCTTCATTTTGGGAAGAAAGATACACACAAAAATTAGCTCTCGGTTTTCATTCACTCACAGAATCTTTCTAGCAATTTGGCTTACGATTTCTATGCCTAGAATCGTAAGTGTCCACTTGGATTATCCTAAACTGAATTTCTTGTAACCCAGGCATAGGGTAGAAATATCAGTTCGGAAAATGTTCTCACGATCCAAGTTGGTATCCAGATCTCCACTACAAACCCTATACTTTCCTACAAGAAGTAGAATAAGAACACTATTAGAATATTGCCACTTTTGAGTGTTGCATTGTTTTTGGATAAACTAGTGAATCCCCGCGCGTTGCGCGAGAATACAATTATATAGTTAAAATAATAACTTTTACAAAATTATTATTTAATATTTCTACTTTGAAACAAAATGTAAGTAGCGAAGCAAACATATACTTAACATATTAGTTTTATTAAACATTATAGTTTTAATTTTTAAGTCATTGTGATATATACAATTATTTGATAATTTTATAAATCATTTAAAATTGTGTAAATTATATATCAAACGTATGATAATCTATATATAACGGGTAACAAAATGTATGAACAAAAATATGAACTACAATTTTTAGTAACATAAAAATACAAAAACATCTATTATAACATTTGTATTAAAAAAATATATATACAACGAATCATAAAAAAATATGAAAAATAAACACTACAACTTTTAATAACATAAAAACACTAAAACATCTATTATAATATTTATATTAATTCTTTATATTTAAATCACAAATCTCTTTAAATACATTAATGTTTTTAATGAGCAAAACTCTACAACTTTATAAAAAAAAAAAAAAAAGTTATTAGTGATTACTAATTAAAAATCATAAGTTAAAAACTCTTGAGTTGTAACTAATAAATATACATAAATTAGAAAACTCTTGAGTTGTAGTGTGAGTTTCAAATGAATGTGGTACTTGGAAATGTGTATTTATTATTATTATTATTATTATTATTATTATTATTATTATTATTATATTAGTCTAAATAATTGGTTTTGATGCATCATTTTAATCCCTTTAATTATTAAACATCAAAATATTTAATTATAAATTTATAACATACATAGGTGCATATATATATTAAACAAATCAATATAATATATATTTTCGTACACGTCATATGTAATTCTTGTCGTAGCAATATGAATAAATTACTTTCATATGAAGAACATATCATGATAAGTCAATCATAATTACATATCAAATGTTAAAAATTATGTTATCTTTTAAATATTGTCTTGTAAATATGTTATGTAGGATAACCCAACAAAAAAAATAGAAAATAAACATAATCAAAATAGAAAAACTACAATCAAATAAATAAGAATTTTGGGTGGTTGAATATATAAATAAAAATGTTACATAAATATACATTTAAATCAAAAGAAAAAACTAACATTCGTCTACTTTGCTCAAACAAAAAAAACTATATCCGTTTTCTGAATCTTCTTTATTCATTTAACAGCATTCAACCATAGAAACTTGATGATAATTCTTCACTAACCTGCAATCAAAATGTTTTTCTTGAAAAAGAAGAATCAAAACGATATTCCAAGCAAAACATTGATGTTTGGAGAGTCACATTCAAGATTGAGTAATACACACAAATCATATATAAAAATCAAATGAAAACTGAATATAAAGAAAAAATAGAAAAGCTTCATTTGTTTTGGTTGAAAGAAAAAATCATATTACAATTACCATCGATGCGACATAACCCATTTCTTCAAATCATCATATTTGGATCGTGAATGCTTCAACTATATGAAAACTTATGAATCACAATATCTTCAACCAAATGACGACTTTTTGTAAGAAAAATGTACTAATATAACTACATATATAATAAGAGAATGCAAAAAATTATTGAAAATTTATAAATATTATAAATGTTATTAATTAAGGAATATAAAAAGTTATGTAGGTTTCAAATCAATATGGTTTGAGAAAACAAAATATCTCTAAACATATGATTTTGAATGGTTTGGTTTGAGAAAACAAAATATCTCTAAACATATGATTTTGAATGGTCTCATTTATACTACTGGAAAAAAAATATAACAAGATCAAACTATAAGTAAAAAATGATACATTCATCCACAACCTTGACTTGTAGAGCTCTTTTAGGGACTCCATCACTGCAAATACGTTCCAAAATAATTGTGCCTATTGAAATTTTTTCTTTTCATTTTCTTATGACATCCTTCTTACATGTAAGAGTTTATATAGCATGTTTGGTGTTTAATGTTAAATCAATTACTTAGAAGACATTTGAAAAGTCATTTGAGAATATGAAAAGACAAAGGAGTTTCAAATCAATGTGGTGCTTAGAAATATAGTCATTTGAAAATATGAAAAGACAAAGGAGTTTCAAATCAATGTGGTGCTTAGAAAAATGCTTCTATTATAAGATACTAGACGAATTCACGCGCGTTGCACAACGCAATTTAAATATATATTGTTAAAATATTAAAATATATATATATATATATATATATATATATATATATATATGTGTGTGTGTGTGTGTGTGTGTGTTTAAAATGGTTATGTTATTGACATTAGCTTTTAGATATTATTTTGACATTAATTTATATATATATATATATATATATATATATATATATATATATATAATCTCAATTATTTT